CCCCACCACTGGTCTGTATATATGGGGGGACCCCGCACACTGACTGCACCCCACCACTGGTCTGTATATATGGGGGGACCCCGCACACTGACTGCACCCCCCACTGGTCTGTATATATGGGGGGACCCCGCACACTGACTGCACCCCCCACTGGTCTGTATATATGGGGGGCCCCTCCCACCCGCCGGGTGATGAAATGAAAACCCGGGCGGGTGTTGGACCCACCTCGGAGTGTGCGGGAAGTGTTCCCCTTTGAGAGGGAATTGTGGTCTTCACCTTCTCTGGACCAGCCAGACGCAATGCGCTCCTCTCCCCGTATCTGGGGGCGGGACTATCCCCATGGCTGCTATCTGGTCTCCTGGGACCGGTAGTTCCTCCACATTGTGGGGTCCGGCCTCACCACTGAGGAGGACTGGAAGCCATTTCTGCGTCCGGAGAGGGGAGTCTGGTTCCTGTACTACAAGCATGCTCCTCTCCCATCATTCCTGGGGGGCGGGGCCTCTGCTGCTCCCCGGATTGGTCAGCGGGCAGGACACTGGTTTCTTTCTGCTGGTGTCCCCTGGGAGGACCAGCGATGGCTGTGTGGGAAATGTTCTCCTTTTGGCTGATGGTCATCCTCTGGAAGAAGGTCCTTCAGATGCCTTTTCTTGGGCCAGTGCTGTCGGTGGTCCGGTGCCCACAGCTGGAACCAGAGGAGAGTCCATGTCTGATGAAGGGCCCCCGAGTGGCCCCGAAACGTTGTGTGTACATGAATAAAATGATGTACACACTTGGTATTGAAGTGGCGCCATCCACCGTCACTGCAGCACCCACCACAAGGGACATACCAGTGAGGAGTGTGGGGGGGGCCGTTTCCTCCATCGGTTTTGGTGTTTTCCCTTCATGGGGCTTTAGGGCCGCCGGCAATTCCCAGGTTTTGCTCCATTGGGCCTGTTGGGTGATGCGTTTCCCGCTCCTCCGTTGGACGGTTTTTGGACCTCCAGACGGTAGAAGACTTCCTGTGTCCTTTCTCTTGCTGTTAGTTCTTCTTTTCTACAAGGTAGGGGTGGGGTTTATATGGGGGGAGGGGCTTACACTTTTTTTCAGTTTGCCCGTTTCCAGTCCTCCTGTAGGCGGCAGTATAACCCGAGTTTCTGAATTCCATCCATAGATTCTACGTCTCCTGACCTCCCCCTCTCCCCCCCTCTCTCTCTCTAGGACGTGTTTTTGATGATCCGTCACGGCAAGACCACAATCTTCACCGACGCCAAAGAGAACACCACCGTGTACGAGCTGAAGAGGATTGTGGAGGGAATCCTGAAGAGGGGCCCCGAGGACCAGAGATTGTACAAGGTGGGGGATGGTCCTTCACCTCCTCTCCTTCTCTGACCTCCTCCTTTCCTTCTCTGACCTCCTCCTTTCCTTCTCTGACCTCCTCCTCCTCCTTTCCTTCTCTGACCTCCTCCTCCTCCTTTCCTTCTCTGACCTCCTTCTCCTCCTCCTCCTTTCCTTCTCTGACCTCCTTCTCCTCCTCCTCCTTTCCTTCTCTGACCTCCTCCTCCTCCTCCTCCTTTCCTTCTCTGACCTCCTTCTCCTCCTCCTCCTTTCCTTCTCTGACCTCCTTCTCCTCCTCCTCCTTTCCTTCTCTGACCTCCTTCTCCTCCTCCTCCTTTCCTTCTCTGACCTCCTCCTCCTCCTCCTCCTTTCCTTCTCTGACCTCCTTCTCCTCCTCCTCCTTTCCTTCTCTGACCTCCTTCTCCTCCTCCTCCTTTCCTTCTCTGACCTCCTTCTCCTCCTCCTCCTTTCCTTCTCTGACCTCCTCCTCCTCCTCCTCCTTTCCTTCTCTGACCTCCTTCTCCTCCTCCTCCTTTCCTTCTCTGACCTCCTTCTCCTCCTCCTCCTTTCCTTCTCTGACCTCCTTCTCCTCCTCCTCCTTTCCTTCTCTGACCTCCTCCTCCTCCTCCTCCTTTCCTTCTCTGACCTCCTTCTCCTCCTCCTCCTTTCCTTCTCTGACCTCCTTCTCCTCCTCCTCCTTTCCTTCTCTGACCTCCTTCTCCTCCTCCTCCTTTCCTTCTCTGACCTCCTCCTCCTCCTCCTCCTTTCCTTCTCTGACCTCCTTCTCCTCCTCCTCCTTTCCTTCTCTGACCTCCTTCTCCTCCTCCTCCTTTCCTTCTCTGACCTCCTTCTCCTCCTCCTCCTTTCCTTCTCTGACCTCCTCCTCCTCCTCCTCCTTTCCTTCTCTGACCTCCTTCTCCTCCTCCTCCTTTCCTTCTCTGACCTCCTTCTCCTCCTCCTCCTTTCCTTCTCTGACCTCCTTCTCCTCCTCCTCCTTTCCTTCTCTGACCTCCTCCTCCTCCTCCTCCTTTCCTTCTCTGACCTCCTTCTCCTCCTCCTCCTTTCCTTCTCTGACCTCCTTCTCCTCCTCCTCCTTTCCTTCTCTGACCTCCTTCTCCTCCTCCTCCTTTCCTTCTCTGACCTCCTCCTCCTCCTCCTCCTTTCCTTCTCTGACCTCCTTCTCCTCCTCCTCCTTTCCTTCTCTGACCTCCTTCTCCTCCTCCTCCTTTCCTTCTCTGACCTCCTTCTCCTCCTCCTCCTTTCCTTCTCTGACCTCCTCCTCCTCCTCCTCCTTTCCTTCTCTGACCTCCTTCTCCTCCTCCTCCTTTCCTTCTCTGACCTCCTTCTCCTCCTCCTCCTTTCCTTCTCTGACCTCCTTCTCCTCCTCCTCCTTTCCTTCTCTGACCTCCTCCTCCTCCTCCTCCTTTCCTTCTCTGACCTCCTTCTCCTCCTCCTCCTTTCCTTCTCTGACCTCCTTCTCCTCCTCCTCCTTTCCTTCTCTGACCTCCTTCTCCTCCTCCTCCTTTCCTTCTCTGACCTCCTCCTCCTCCTCCTCCTTTCCTTCTCTGACCTCCTTCTCCTCCTCCTCCTTTCCTTCTCTGACCTCCTTCTCCTCCTCCTCCTTTCCTTCTCTGACCTCCTTCTCCTCCTCCTCCTTTCCTTCTCTGACCTCCTCCTCCTCCTCCTCCTTTCCTTCTCTGACCTCCTTCTCCTCCTCCTCCTTTCCTTCTCTGACCTCCTTCTCCTCCTCCTCCTTTCCTTCTCTGACCTCCTTCTCCTCCTCCTCCTTTCCTTCTCTGACCTCCTTCTCCTCCTCCTCCTTTCCTTCTCTGACCTCCTTCTCCTCCTCCTCCTTTCCTTCTCTGACCTCCTTCTCCTCCTCCTCCTTTCCTTCTCTGACCTCCTTCTCCTCCTCCTCCTTTCCTTCTCTGACCTCCTTCTCCTCCTCCTCCTTTCCTTCTCTGACCTCCTTCTCCTCCTCCTCCTTTCCTTCTCTGACCTCCTTCTCCTCCTCCTCCTTTCCTTCTCTGACCTCCTTCTCCTCCTCCTCCTTTCCTTCTCTGACCTCCTTCTCCTCCTCCTCCTTTCCTTCTCTGACCTCCTTCTCCTCCTCCTCCTTTCCTTCTCTGACCTCCTCCTCCTCCTCCTCCTTTCCTCCTCGGACCCTCCTCTGACTCTCCTCTCTTTCAGGATGACCAGCTGTTAGATGATAATAAAAGTTTGGGCGATTGTGGCTTCACCAGTCAGACAGC